GATGTCAGGAAAAATTATATTCCCAGATCTGCCCCAAAGCAACTGAAGAGACAGCTAGCTGTCCCCCTCTCCCTCCTCCAGAGTAATGGGGTCATGGCTGGGCCTGGGGCCGCCTAACCAGACTGTCATCTCAGCCCTACTCCAGCTCCCTGCCTCTAAAGGTGAGTGCTTACATGGCTAACAGTTCCTCATAAGATGGAGTGGACACGGCAGGTGTGTGGGCCCTGAAGACCACGTGTGCCTGCTCCATGCTTTCTGCCACCTTCAGGAAACAAAATGTAGAAGCGCGTTGGCCTCACCCTGGCAGACAAAACAGGAGGCTCTGGGAAGGCCCTGAGGAAAGGACACATCCAAGGACCTGGAATGTTCATTTGGAATTTTAAGTTCTGTGAGCCTGGTATCTTCCTAACAATTAATGACATTTCTGCTGAAATTGGCAGTACCCTGGAGAAACATGATGCTTTAATACTTTCATGAAATGTGTCCACACTTGAAAGATCCTTATAACTCAATGAACCACTATTTTTCAAACAATTAAAGAATGTTACAAAATTGTGCATGGATAAAAAAAATGCCTTCAAAGAGGATTTTTTTTTTTTTTGCAATCACACAAGAGGTTTATTTTCTGGCTAGCCAGGGTCCAAGCCCCAGAGCACCAACGCAGTGGCCACTCTCGCAGGCAAGGACCCCGACCGGAACAACGGCATGCCTTTTATCCCCATGTGCACGAGCTGCGCACAAGCTGACTACGCATGGATCATGCGTTGACCTTTAAAATGATTGGTTGCCCACTATTGCCTTTTGAAATAATTGGCGGGTTGGTTGCCCTCTATTGCCTGATAGGCCAGTTGCCCGTGCTTCAATGACCTCATCCCATAATTCCCCTTACAGCGGTGTAGCAAGCAAGCAATGACCAGAAGCAAAGGTTTGCGGTTAGCTCATTGCCCCACCCAAGTAAATTCCCGACAATTGGAAGAATTCCTCTGCCCTTCCTCTATCCTACAAATTCCTCTGCCCTACATTCCCCCCTTTCTCTAGGTAGCAGACGAGCACTCTTGCTCATCCTCAAGGTCTCTTAGGTGCTCTAGTTCTATAGCACTTGACCATAGCTGCTGATGTTGTTGTTGCAATACTAGTAGCTGGACAGTGTTTATCCGTTCTTTCACAAAAGCTACTAGTCTATTAATTACACATGGCGCGAAAGTAAGGACTAAGATTAGCATAATGAGTGGGCCTAGTAGGGTGGATAGTAGCGTTGTTAACCAGGGGGAACTGTTAAGCCAAGACTCAAACCAACCTGCTTGCTGTTCATATTCCCGTTTGCGGCGGGCAAGCCCTCCCCTGACCTTAGCCATAGATTCTCTAACAACTCCCGTATGGTCTGCATAGAAACGACATTCTTCTTTGAGGGCAGCACACAGTCCTCCTTGCTGGAGGAATACTAGATCTAACCCCCTCCGGTTCTGGAGCACTACCTCGGATAGGGAGGTTAGTGACTTGAGTATTAAACCCTCTTTGCCGCATTGCCAGAGAAGAGATACTAGTTCCTGCTCCTATTGCCCCTAAGCCAAAAAGAGTAGCCAGGGTTATGGCTGTGAAGGGCTCTCTTTCTTTTAAAAATTAGGTTGGTGACTCTTTGCCCTACTGTGCCCTCATACATTGTCTCTTTAGCGTGGTATATTATTTTTGGGAACACTAACACCATTATACAGTAATCCTTAGACCTATGTAAGGTTATGGGGTTGGTGGGAGTTTGGGGCGGTAAGTATAGCTGTAGGTCTCCATCCCAAAAACATTAGACCAAAAACACAACATCCCAAAAACACAACAACCAATCCCCACCGCGACCCGTCCATGTTGTCACCCAGTTCAATCTTTAGATGCCACAACCCCAGTCCAAGTCTGGGTCAGCAGTCCTGGGCTGTCGCCGCCACGCGGGTCAGGTCTGGTCTTCAGAGGATTCCTCGGGTCTGCAGTTGCTTTCCACCTTCAAAGAGGATTTTAACATAACAGAGGGCAAAATGTTCATTGATATGGTTTCAGATTCCACATTGCCATGAACCTTTAAGAAATTTTCACTTATCAAGTTGTGGTATAGTGCCAAAGATGAATATCCACAATTCTCTGAAAATGTTATTCAAATACGTGTTCCTTTTCCAACTGTGTATCTGTGTGAGACCAGATTTTCTTCATATATTTCAACTGAAACAATGTATTGCACAGATTGAATGGAGAAGCCAGACATTAAAGTGACTTTCCAAAATGTCTAACAATGTCACTCTGGTTTTTGTGAGACAGAGTTTCCCTGCCACCCTGGCCAGAGTGCAGTGGCATCACCATAGCTCCCTGCAACCTCCAACTGCTGGGCTCAAGCGATCCTCCTGCCTCAGCAGCTCCAGTAGCTGGGACACACCACCAGGCACACACCACCAAGCCTGGCTAATTTTTATGTTTTTTTGTAAAGACAGGGACTTGGTATGTTGCCCAGGCTGTTATCCAACTCTTGGCCTCAAGCGATCATCCTGCTTTGGCCTCCCAAAGTGCTGAGTTACAGGTGTGAGGCACTGCATCCGACTGGAAAAGTATTTTTCTTAAAAGTGTGCAGTGATAACATGTAATGGGTTTATAATTTATTTTTAGATACATGAATACATGTTTTTTTTTTTCCCTTGGTTTTTAACTTCTGGTACATCTCCACATAATCAAAAGCTCTTTGGTGTCTTCAATAATTTCCAGGTGTCCAGGTGCCACATTGCGCTGGTTCCTATCACAGAGGTGCTCCTAGTTCTCCGTGGCCCACATAGGAAGCCTGAGGCTCTAACAGACTCAGGGGCATACTCTAGCAAATCCACACAAGGCTCAACACAAGAGATCCTTTTTCTGATACAGCAATCACTTGGAGAAATCTTTTTATGCCCCCAAATTGGTCAGCTTGGTGATTAATACATTTATGGGAAAACGGTGGTCAGCAGTGAACATGAAAACTTCTTTTGCAGCAAGGATTCAATTCCAGCATGTCCTTACATTCAGTTTGCACGTGGCACACTTGCATATGAACACTTTTAAAAAAACAAATTGTCCAAATGCATGTTATCTACATGATCGTTTTAAAAAGGTGATGCTCTAATGGAAATAGCCTTTGTCACATATCCCAAAAGAAGCCCTTAGGAGTTAAGAGTCTTCTAGTCGAGCTCGAACTTGCCAATCAAGAGAGGTCCAGGTGTTGGAGCTGGAAACAGAACTCAAGACCCCTGACTTGGTGTGGCCTTCCTCCCACTACACTGCTTCCTCTAGGGTGAGCACAGGTCTGTCTGGTCCTAAGTGGGCAGACGAGCACGACAGGAGATGGAGCTTGCTACCCCCTTCCCCCTCCAGAAGTAGAGATCCTTGCCAGACATTGCTAATTCATCTCAGACCAACACTTGGTTCCAGTGTAGCCCAGCAAGGTATTAGAATCCTTAAAACTGTCCAGATAGCTGAAGCTGGTCTGCAAAATGAAACTGGTGTGCACAGAGCTATCACCCACCCTTTGAACAGAGCTGTGAGGGTAGGCCCCATCTGGTCACTCCTGTGAAGGCAGCTTCTCCCCTCCCAAAGCAATGACCATGACTTGGTGCTTAGGCTTGTGACCCCCTGAACATGCCACCTGCATCATTCTTTCCTTGCAAAAGATAAAGTGGCGTTCTGATTTTTAGTTTTCTTTCAAAGTTCACTGGTGAGTACAAGGATCTCCCTGGAGTGGGTGGAGATCCCCAGGTATAGATCTTGCTTTAAAAGCCTCTAATTTTGTTGAGGAAGGAATGAAGTACCACCTCCCTCTATTGTAAGTCTTCTAAACCTCAAAGCCTTGCTTTTAGTTCTGAGACTGTGAACTTTTTTCGTAAATTGGGCCACTGTAGATGTATTGTTTGTTTTTTATCATATATTTTGAAAACTTTCCTATGTATGAGTGTATAATTCCCATGAAAAAAACTTAACAGGTGTTAAAGAAAAATGATGTCAAGTGTCAAACATACTTACATATCCTTTGATCTAGAATGTAGTGAAAGTTTTGGTGTCATTTGTCATGTTTTTTGATTTTGTGACTGGTGGCTTTTATCCTTCAATGCAGATGTTAAAAATGTACTTTCATTCTTAATAGTTTTTGTCATTCTTTGAAACACTCATGTTTGTGTGACTACATTCTTCCATATTTTCTTGTACTCTTTTGGTTCCTTTTTTTTAATACTCAAAACTTTGATCTACTTTTAATTTCATCTACTGTTAAGGACAAGGTAAGCAGTAATATTTATACTTTAACTGTTACCAAGTTTTATCACCTGCATTGACTGAATGATTGTTCCCCCATTAATGAGAAAAGTACCTATCCCAAACCCAAAAACACACAGGACAGGGTACACTTCTGGACTTGGCTTTGTGGCAGCCCCAGCTTTAGATATTATACACTGACATTTAATTTTATCTTCCTGACTTTTATAGCTCCTCTATAGACATGAACTGTAGAAGCAATGTAATAAGATGTTCAGAAGGGGAAAGTGTTTTTTAATTGAGATTAACAAATTTAGAGACAACTTTATGATGTTGTCTTTCCAGCCAAGACCAGTCCCCTTTCACTTTGCAATGAACTGGGATGCTTGAGAATTTCCTTTCCAACATCTACACTCGGGTTATTCCTTACCTGAAGGCAGTATTAGAAAGGTCACAGACTACCAGCAATTTGAGAATTAGATGGGATCTCCATATCATCTGGCTCAATGCTTGCAGTTTACAAATGAAGGAACTTAGGTGCAGAGAAGGCAGGGATGTGCCCAGCTCACAGTAACGCAGCGGTAGGGATGGGAGTCTGGGGCTTTCCTTCCAACAAGTGGCAGACAAGGGGTTCAGGCTCCTGAACATCTCCCTTCAAGGCTGCAGGCTGGCGAGACACCTGAAACCACGAGGGTCCCACAGAGCACCCCCCACCCCACATGCCCCCATCACACAAAGGCAGTGATCCACAATGAAGAGAAAAGATATTTAATTATTTCTCAGTCTAATCTCTTTAAAGCGCTCAAAGTGTTTTCACAAGTGCAAGGGGGAGGGATTGTTCTCAGCCAACATTTACCAGTGATTCCGACACACGCAAAAAAACTCCAAATCACGGTGCTTTATACTTACTTTTAATTTCTGCACTGAAAAAAAAAGGAAGGTAAAAACAATGACAGATTAGTTTACAGTGACTTCATCTTTGCCTTTAAATTAATCTTTGCTCTTAGGAGCAGAAGGGAGAGAGAAAGACAGGAAAACATCCAAGCCTGATGGTGAAACGGTGACCAGGACACCTGGGTCTGCCTGACAAGGGCTCTAGAAACCCGGACACGGTGCCGTCGATGTGCTAGCTTGTAAACTGACAGGCAACAGTTAAAATACATTTAAAAAAAATCCCACAATTCCATTCTTAAAATCAAGCACAAAATCTGACAATGAAACACATCCAAGGGTCACGTGTGTGTCTCCACCTGACCTAAGGCGGCTTTCTGGAGGCTGCCACGTGGCGATGCACACGCACTACAGGGAGACAGACACCTGCTTTACGCAGAATTCCGGCCTTGCTGAACTGCAGCGAACATTCCCTCTCGCTGGTGCAGACATGTTCTGCACATAGGAGAGAGGGAGCCACGGGCTGCTCACCTGTACAGCTGCCCCTGACAGACAGCAAGAGCTGCGGGTGGGGGTGGGGGTGGGGCTCTGTGCTTTTGAGGCTGCTGCCTCTGGAATGTTCTGCATTCTCAAGGTCTGGCTGGGCTGTGGGTTTTTAGTTACGCTCCACACATTGTTGAAGTGCTCGCTTTATTTTTCATGTGCAAACTGTTACTGTCTAAAGCTTTCGGAAGGACACGTACAGACACAGACACCCTGTAGAGAGGCGGGGTCATCGTTAAGGCCCTCCTCCCTCCTGCGGCGGGGCGGGGCAGGGGCACGTTACAGAAATAGAGAAATGATGTGTTCCGCTGCAGTTAAACTCTAGTCCCTGATTCGGTCTGTCCGGGGTGGGCTCCTTAGTAGGTGACTGTCCACTCCTTGACAGAGGCGTCGTGGGAGGTCGTGACCAGCGTGTGCTCGTCCAGCCACGCCAGGCTGCTGACGTGGTGTAGCCGGTGTGCATCTGGAAAGAGAGGACTTGAAGTAAGGAAAACCCAAATTTCTCTGCCTCTACATATATCTTGGACTAAGAAGATGGAACAAGCTGCACCCAAACCATCAACAGGGCCCCGAGAAACTGACCAAGTGTGGCTGTTAATCAGACCCCTTTCCCTTATCAGGAGGAGCCTGGGATAACAGTGTGGGGGCAGGTGACGGCTAACTCTGCCGTGCCATGCAGAACAAGCAACCTCCTTGGCCTCTACCCACTAGACGCCAACCGCTCCCTCTCTCCAAGTCCTGACAACCAAAAATGTCCCCTCTCCCTAAGAAGGTGAAAAAAAATCTTTTTATGTACAAAAAAGCTATACAGAAAAAAACATAAACAGAAACACAGTATCTATGTGTATGAAACTGGGGGTATGGCAACCAATGAAAGGCTGAGCAGCATGAGGTTGGGGAACTTATCTGACTGCCCCCGGCAAGAGTCACAGCATGGTGACCAGGCTCCAGATCCCAGCAGGGAGGGACCACTGTGTGGTTCCTTCCCCAGCTAGCCCTCTGCACAAAGCCCAGGGGGGCTCCCCCTCCAGGAAAGGGGCTGTCCACCAGCTCTCTGCTCCCCCAGCCCAGGTGGCGTCCAGCCTTCAAATCTGCTGCCTGCCCCACTAAACAGGGGCAGACTCCACCCCCAGCCCTGCCATGGCAACACCCTAATGCCAGAGACCTAGCTCCATCCACATCACCACTGACTCTTTCCGGGTGTATAACTCAATGATATGCACGAAAGCCCGATGCTGGGGGCAGCTTGTGTTTGGTAAGCTGTGACCACACAGCAGATAAACCCCGGGCTGCCTTCCTCCTGCCTGCCTGGGAGGGACGCTGAAGATGCAGCTCAGTGGCGCCCCCCCTCGGCCTACAGCTGGGCACAGGCTCTGGGGGTGCACTTGGACTTGCTGTATGTTTCATACAACAGGCTGCCTTGTGTAGAAAAGGGAACAGGAGACAAAACCATGCATAAGCTGCCTGGCAGTGCTGGGGACAGGAGATGTGGGAGATCAAGGAGGTGCTACCCATGTGGGGCCCCAAAAAGAGATGAGCTGTCACTACAGGAAGCAATGATGATATGTCAGGTAAAACAAAACATACCGCTAACAGTAACTTCATCTGTTTCCTTTTTAAACGTGGCTACTAGAAAAGCGGAACATTTGTGTGTGGGTTACACTATACCTCCACTGGACACTGCTGCCCCAGGAAGTGAGAAAGGCTGGCCCTGGGTGGGGGGATGAGGTCCAGAGCGAGGCCTTCAATCGGCTCCGCACATGTCCTGGATATGGCCCCGTGTGCTCCCACTGGGACACAGAGTGCCCCGAGGCCCCTTGGCATGGCTAGCCCAGGCCGGCAGAGCAGCTGGTGTCTGCTGGAGAGAAGAACGTGACCCCTGCCCCCACCGAGTCACCTCCCTAGAGGCACAGAAGTGACAGCCCTGAGGACAGCAGGCAGAAGATGGGCGACAGAGTCCGTTCCCTGCCAAGGCCTGGGGGCAGGAGTCACCTTGGATCTTGACTCTGGTCTCTGGGTCGCTCAGGGTCCAGACGTACACCATCATGTCCATGCCACCGGAGGCAAAGTGTTCATTGTCTGGTGACCAGGCCAGGCAGACGATTTTTGCGTGGTGTCCATAAAAAACATTGTTCTCCTAGTTGCAGGTTGAAAACAGAGAGGCAGCAGGTCAGGGTTTGGGCCAGAGTTACCCTGCATTGGGCACTAACGCTGTGCCAGGTGACCTTTACGAACTCACTGACTTCTTGATCCCATGAGGCACCCGCTACTCACAGAGACTAGAAAACTAAAGCTAAGAAATGTGCAGCCACCTCCCGCCTGCGCCGCCTCACACAGGACAGAGGCGGCCCGCTGCCTGCTCACCGAGTAGCCGTCGGCAACGCTGAACACCGTGACCACCTTGCTGGCATCGCACACGGCGAGGAAGGCGCCATCGTGGGAGTAGGCCACATCTGTCACGGGGCCCTTGGCCTCCAGGAGCTTGTTCTCGTCCTTCAGTGTGGTGCCCAGGATGGAGTACAGGCGGACGCTGCCATCCTGCAAGCGGGACAGCAAGGAAGTGAGGCTCCCCAAGCCCCGACAAACATGAGTGCACACGCACCCCATGCCCCGCCCCACCCATTTCTGAAGGGGCAGTCGGGGTCCTAGTGAGACAAGGGGCCCTTGCTCTGACTGCTGCTCTGCTACGGCCCTGCCCGGGCTCCCAGAGGCCAGGTGTGTCGCTCCTTCTGCCACACGTACCAGAGGGTACTTCCTAAACCCTTCAGTAGATCCTATAGCTTAGCTACCACAGATGGCAGAATGGCCTGGGGAGGCTGTTAAAATCTCACCCCAGGCCTCCTCCCATTCTGATTCTGCATGTTTGGGTGCTTGAGCCTGCACTTTTCATAAATGCCCCCAGAGGTTCACGGGCCAAACTTTGAGAAAACACCTGCATGTGAGCAGTTCTCTAATGAGGGCCCTGTCTGGCCACCCTCCTCAGGCCGCCCCTGCCTGCCCAGCACCTGGGCAGGTTCCCTGTGGCCCCAGCTGTCGGCGAGCACCCAGTCCGCCTCCCCATCACCCCGTCGTGCTCAGGCACTGCTTCCCTGGGGAGGGCACACCTGCTCTTTCTAAGGTTGGCAGTCCACCTCCCTGTAGCTGTCACCACCAACTCTGGGAGTCTTCGTTTCCACAATAATCACATGGCCCTCCCCGTGTACGGATCCCCGAAATTCTCTGAGCAGCTCTGTGAGAAAGGCACAGCTGGCCACCTGAGGTCCCCAAGTTGGTGGAGGAAGCTGACTCTACCTGGGTGGGCCAGGGCCAGCGCTAGAGCCTGGCTCCTGTGTCACGACTGCCTTGAGACAGTGTGGACACAGCAGACAGGCCTCTATAGCACAGGTGGGCACTGCCACGGCGGCAGCAGAGCTGGATTACCAGCGGGCCGCCCTCCTGGGGCCCAGGAGGAAGAAATGAGTTCCTCTGTAAAGCACTCAGGACGCAGCCGGGAAGACGGTGACCGCTCTGCACACACAATCCTTACTTACTATAGGGCATGAGAATTATTGATATACTGTGGACCGTGAGAAGGCAGAACTCAAGGAAAACTGTGCAATGCTCAGGTTAACTCTGCACTGTGGAGGTGCTAAGAAAATTCGTCTCTCTCCTTGTACAACCGAGGGCTGGTGCTTCCTTTCCTGACCTGCTGCCCTCTCACTTCCCAGGCACTCGCAGGGCCGACCTGGGGCCAAGATGGCCCTTCTTTAGCACTCCCTCCCTCACTGCCCAGGGCCCTTGGACACCCCAAGACTGTGGGCACTTTGGCCACCGCACCTGGCCTGGCCATCCATCGGCACGTGGAAGACACTCCCTGAGGGTCTTGTGACATGGACTGTAGTATGAACACGCCCCAGGGCTCACGCCCACCTCCTGGCCTGACCCACGTGCTCCAGTAGGACACCACAGCTGGCACACCTCACTGCTCGGACACTGGGCCCCGCTGCAGGGCACTCATGGCAGGGCAGGGAGCCTGAGGCCAGCTGGCCAGGGGAAGGCCCCCACTTTGGTGGCAGGAGGGCAGCGGGGCTGCAGAGTGGAACCTCAAACCTCAGCCCCACTGCGTTCCACAGGACTCACACAGCCCAGGCTGTCCCCAAGCCACACCCAGATACCCAAATCAGAGCCGTAGGTGAGAGGAAAGGGCCTTACCGTGCCCCCGACAGCCACCGTGTCTCCACCCGGGTGCACCGCCACAACTTCCGGCTCGTAGCCGGGGTTATCGATGCTGAAGCACTTCTTCTGGTCCTTCAGCAGGACAATCTGCGGGCACATGGGCAGCCAGTCAGAGCAGGGCAGCCCTCGTGGGTTCCGTCCCCAACCTTGCCACAGCCCAGCTGGGCTGAGCCACAGCCCCGGGCTCAGCCCCAGCACGTGAACCTCACAGCTGGGTGGGGCAATGAAAGGTCTTGGTCAGCCAGAATTTCAGTAAACGCTGCTGTCACCATCATCATCGCTACATCATTACTGCGGTTACTATGACAGCACCAACTTCCCAGTCACTGCACTTAGTTCCTCCCATCATGCAATGTCCATGATAAACAGACTTTGCTGAACAGAGTCCTCCTAACACTCGAGAGGACATGAGCAGTGGGAAGTGGCTAAAGCAACGGTGGACAAGATGATGACATGTCTGCATCCTAGGTTCTGGCCACTCAGGCAAAAAGAAACAGCCTGTTTTCATCAGTGCTTGTGTGATAGCACTGGAGCTGTCACTACCCAGTAGCTGGGCACATGCCCTGACTCCAGCAGGTCAGCTGTGGGGCTGGGGCTGCCCAGTCCAGGGGCCACCTTGCTCAACCACCCAAGCTGACTAGCCCTGGGGATCAGGGGCAGATGGCTACATAGCACAGTGGCCAGGAGCCTGTGCCTGCTGCCCAGGGCCAAGGGTGCTTCTCCTCTGTAGCCCTGAGCCCACTGGAGAATTTCCTGATCTAAAATCCCTGACCCCTGGGTAATAGGGAACTCTGCAGAAGACCCTCACCTGGAGCTGGGGTCACAGATGCTCCTAGAGGACCAGGTGAGCAGTGGCAGATCACAGAAAACATGTGCACACATGTTTATTCCAAGGGTTCCAGTGACTCCCCAGAGCTTGTCCACTGGCACACTACAATCCTATGGGGCACTCATTATGAGCCTCAGGGCAGGGACAGCTTCTCATGACAACTTTACAGATAAGGAAACTGAGGCCTGAGACACAGAGCTCTGCCTGAGGCCTGCAGTGTGGACAGGGCCAAGCCTGAGTTCCGCCCCTCACCAGAGGCCAGGTGCAGACACCGAGGCTGGAGAAATCCCGCCGTATGGAGAGGAGCTGCCCATCAGCCTTCCAGAACGCTGCTTCCCAGCCTTCCCCCATGTGCCCCTCTGGCTGGCCGACCGTGTGCGATAATTACTTGGCAGGGAGTTCTTATTATCTAGGACACACAGCAGTCCATTCTCCCTGAAGCAATTAAATTCATAGGACTGAGCAGGGGCGGGAGGATCCTGAATGGCAGCTTTCTTTAGGGAGGTTTGTCACGTGCTGAAGGGGACCCAGGTGCTACCTGCCTTCCCCAGCTGACATGCCGGGATGCCCGGGTCCACTGACAGATGTTTGTAACAGAGCAGAATTCTGTACAAAGTGGGTCAGGCTTGGATCTCAGTTTAGGGCGCTTTGCTCCAGAAATTCCAGAAGAGGTGTGCCGGTGCCCTCACTGGATGAGAACCCGGGCTATGGGAGGCAGAAAAATTGCACCCTATTCTGGCTTGGGTACTACCCTGCCACCAGTGGGAACGCTCTGGGGGCCCCACCAGCCCGCTCTGAGCCTCAGCCTCGTTTGTGAGAGAACAACTTGAGACGGTGTGAGGAGCTGAACATGTATTTCCTCGTAATCACCTTTGTGAGACTGTTGGGGATGAGAACACTAAAGCTCAGAGGTGAGGTAAATGCCTGAAGTCACACAGCTCCAATGCAGCAGGGCTGGGACCTGCACATGAGCACAGACAGACAGACTCACTCAAGTGGAGTCTCCTACGGATCTAGCAGGGCGATGGGCACACAGTGAGGTCTACTGCTTCAACAAATCCCAGCCCTGGGCAAGCGCTTCCACTTCCTCATCTGTACAATGGGCCAATGCCCTGCCCAAGCGGCAGGACCGTGGTGAGGATTAAGTGAATACACGTGAGGCCCTCAGCATAGCACAAGCGAATGCTCAACAGAAATGTTGGCTAGAGTGGCCGTTAGGCGGGACAGGAGTGGGATTTAGAAACCGGGCGGCACACGGCCGTAAGCTCCGACCCCTTATCCCCACCATGCCCTCGAGTTTCACACTAACCTGCCCGATGCACACGACCACAGTGTACCCCCCAGGGCCGACAGCTACGCACTTCGGCTGAACATCCAGTTTCACAACTCCTTGTCCGCTGTTCGAAAGAAGGGAAAGCATGTGACTTTTAACATTTGAGCAGTTTAGTGTAGGTATCCATATATACTCTCTGCAAAGCCATGGCAATTTAGCTATTTAGGAGAAGGGAGCTCTATGGTAATCTACACTGAAGCAGGGATTTGCTAAAATAGGGGAGGAATGGGGGGGGGTGTGGGGAGAGGGTGGTGAGAGGCAGTGAAGGGAACAGCCTCCGTCCTGTTTATCTGTGATAAATACCCACAACCCCCTCATTCTGCCCAGTGGCAGCTTTTGCACCCGTATCTGTTAGCTAAAGACTGGAGTTTCCTGGGCACAGATGAACTATGTTCTGCATAGTCCCACAAGGGGTTGATTTTTTAAGAATTTGTTACCTTTAACGGGTGAAAATCTTTTGTTTTGGGTATTGCTATCAAACCTCGTCCTAGAAAAATCTACACATGCATACAAACTTCTTAAAAATTGTAAGTCAAGGACACTTGTGTGTAACCAGGCCAAGAATGGGGTCCCCAATGCCCGCTGGATGTGCTCTGCAACAAGGTCACCAGGCCGATATGGCCAGGGAAGACCTTCACAGGGATGTTAAGAGCAGGGTTGCCACAGGCAGTAGAAAGATGAGTAGGGCTCAGATGCCTAGGTCCTGGGGCCATTTCTGCCACTTACTAGGAGGCTCAACTGACTCTCAAGACACTGGGACAGTCAGGCAAGTGGGGCCTGCACAAGCATGACCCATCTGTCTTGAGTCGGTGCTGCAGTCCCAAAGATGCACCCCAGAGCCCACATCTCCCAGGGGAGATGTGCCTCTGTGTCCTATGACAGGTGCCTCTGAGGGCCTCATTTGACCTTCAAATAGCCTGAGGTAGGCTCTGTTGTCGCCTGCTCTTACTGATGAGAAGAGAGATAAGGAGCCACCTTGGCAGGATTCTGAGGGACAGGGGCTGGGATCTGTCCCCCCTGCTCCCAGGGCAAAGTCTCATCTGGTCACTTGTGTGGGCAAGAGCATGACCTAGGTCACCTGGAGTCTACAGCTCAGCACCTGGCCCAGGCAGGACAATAGCTCCTGTTGGGGCAGGGGAGGGACCAGTCCTGGGGCACTGGAGGGGCAGAAGCCACTCAGGGACCCAGAACATATCCCTTTCATTCCTCCTCACCTGCACAGAGCTTCAGACCACTTGTGACAGCTATTCTCCTAGCTCCAGTGACAGTCAGTCACAGGCACCAGGGCAAAAACAAAACAAGAGTGTGTCTTCTAATCAGAGCAGCCATGTGCCCGTCCTCACCCTTGGGCAGCAGGAGGATGCACCTTGTTCTGAGTACCTGCCCTATGACAGGTGCCTCTGAGGGCCTCATTTGACCTTCAAATAGCCTGAGGTAGGCTCTGTTGTTGCCTACTCTTACTGATGAGAAGAGAGATAAGGAGCTACCTTGGCAGGATTCTGAGGGACAGGGCCTGGGATCTGTCCCCCCTGCTCCCAGGGCAAAGTCTCATCTGGTCACCTGTGTGGGCAAGAGCATGGCCTAGGTCACCTGGAGTCTACAGCTCAGCACCTGGCTCAGGGCCTGACAACAGGGGAATGATGCTCAGGGGAAGAGACGGTCAGAGAGCAGATAAAATGTTATCAAGGAAAGTAACTGCTACTGGCAACAGGGGTTTTCGGGGCAGGGTGGGAATCCAGGTTCACTGTGGATCCCCAGAGGCGGTAGCTCTCACCTGTAGTCACGCAGCATGAGGTTGGTGTACCGCACGGTGTCGTCCATGCTGCAGCTGACCAGCTGCCCGGACTCATCCACAGTCATTCTGGACACCTGATTCGTGTGGCCTTTCCCAGCAAAGGAGTCGTTTTCCCCCGTTTCTGAATCCCAGTAATGTAGGGGGGGTTAAGGAAAAGCCCAGCCTTCAGGACTATGGTACCTGCCCTGTGGGGAGGCCACGCCCAGCCCTAGTCCCAGCAGCCAAGAAGTCCCAGACAATTAGGGGAGGACACTGGGCCTGAAGCGACACAGCTCCTGGATGTCCACGACTAGAATTTCAGACGTGTGGTAAGCCAGTGAGACGGCCCCACTGCAAGTCAGTGGGCCATTTTAAATTCCACACTCCAAATCAGAAATAGTCCAACTAAGCCTCCTTGTAACAGTGTCACACATGGCTAAGTCTTCAGATGCCATGACCACAATGACCTGTGGTCAGCACTGCCCTTGGAGAGCATGGCTCAGGAGGAAGTCGCTTCTCCCTAGGACCTGGTGTAACTGAGTCAATGTTCCTACTGCTTTTTCTGTAACCTGTTGTCAAGCCCACTACCCTTGGCAGGAAGCTGGCTGTGCCTGCCGTGTGCCCTTGAGCAAAGGCTCAGGGGCTGTCCCAGCCTCTGGGTGGTTTGTGGACACTGAGCCCCAGGTGCTCAGGCGTGAAGTGTGGCTTCCGTGACGAGACCCATTTCAAACGCAGGGTACTGTTCCCCTTGGGAAGCCAGCAGCATGTTCTGCGGTGGACACACTCCTGGAAAGGAACTACCTGGAACAGGGGTCCATGACACTAGGACCATGGACAGGAGCAGGGCGGGAGCATGGCTTGGGGGCCCGCAAGGACCAGCGTGTCTGGAGACAATGGCTCAGCACCAGCAGGCAGATTCTGGGGCTTTCTCTACCGCCATCTGTGACGGCCACTCTAACCCTTTTCCTTATGTGCCCTGCGGACAGCTGCCCCAATGTTAGAGACTGCTGTGAAGGGGGTGTCAGCAGTCCCAGGCCAGGCTGGGGAACAGAAACCCTCATACTAGGGAGAAACCAGAGGGCTTGTTTACAGAAACCCCAGACAGGGACTCGTAAGGGGGCCCGCACACGTCTCCAGTGAACATCGTCCCAGCTCTGATGACGACAGGCTGTGTGACCTTGGCAATGGTTCTTTAGCTGAGTCCCAGTTTTACCATTTTTAAAACAAGGGTTTTCTACTAGAGGGTGTTCGAGTCCTTCTCAATTCTAAGATTCAATGCCTCCACTGGGACAAGGGTGATGTTAGCTGTCATTTACAGGGAGAAGAGCAGCCCAAGTTCAGAGAAGTTAAGCCACACACTCAGGGTTGCACAGCGAGAGGCCCGGAGCTGCTGGTCCTTGTGACAGGCAGACAGGATGCTCCCAGAGGCCACGCTGGTCGGAAGAGTGCAGCTGGGCCTGCAGCCACCTGGCTGGCCTGGCCTCTGGCACTGTGGGAACGGGAAATTCCCCTCTCCTGCCAGCGGCTCCGCAGCCAGCTCTGCCAGTCAAAGGATATTAATATGTCCGTCGTGGCTCCCAGAATAGATGTAGGACTTGCCGCCGTTTTTATGCACCGTCAGACACTGGATTGATTTACTGTGACCCTGTGGAGGAGACACAGGGCCAGGGTGAGCTGAGGACACACCACCTAGCCCTCCCCACCCATCAGCTGCTTTCCTGCCCTCTAAGCCTTTGGGTGACAGGAAGGGGACAAACGCCCCTCCGCACATGGCAGTGCACGTGTGCTGAGATCCCGCAGCCCCAGCTGGCTGAACACACGCTCCCGAGCCACCACCAGCCTTCCCCATCGCCGGACCACTCTACAAAACCCCACCCTTCCTGCCCCTCCCTCCAAGGCACCTAAGCCCGTGGGCCCGGACCTGGGTCTGAACCAAAGCCTGGCGCCCAAGCGCCTGGTATATGCAGACATGTGGCTGGCACCCAGCTGACTTCACAGCCACCTGAAGGAGGAAACGCTGTGTGTCTTTACCATAGAAGACAGCCTGGGCGCTGCGCCTGCTTGGAGCACAGCAGCCGCCTAGGGGTGGCCCAGGAGGCCCCCAGAGCTTGCAGAGGCAGGTGGGGGCCCTGGCTCTCTCTCAACCAGCCTCCTCACTGACCCGAGATGTCTGAGGGCTCTGATATCCCAACCTCCCCGACAACCACAGCGGGAGCACCAAGGACTCATCTATACCCAGAAATCTGCTTCAAGAGGACTCATCTACACCCAGAAATCTGCTTCACTCTCCTCCATGACCGCTCTTGGGACAGAAGCAATGGTGGCGGTGTGGGCTCAGCACAGCCCCTTCCTCTCTCAGGGGATGCGGCTTCCCCGCCAGTTTCCCTGTTCTTCATCAGCCCCACTCGACTGCCAGCTGGCACAATTTGCGCTCAAGGCTTTTCCCCAGGAACTTCCCAAGCATTCTGTGGCGTTCTGCCTGTTGCCACAATATGGCATTTATCTTCGGAGAAAGGAACACACAGTTCTCAGTAGGACGGGAGAACGCGGAACTGGCACAGCCATTTCTGTCTTTCCAGTGGAGTTGGGAGAAATCATCACACATCCCAGTAAGTGGCACTGAGCTGCCGTCTGTTTCTAACACAGCCTCTGGTCAAGCCTGCTGCTCAGGGCATGAGCCGCATGGGGGTGGCTGGAGCCCTCCCTGCTTGCCCAGTCACCTTGTGCTCAGAGCGAGGTGGGGCGATGCAGGTGCTCCCTCGCCTGGAACTCGTGAGAAATGCAACCTTTCGGCCCTGCCCAGATGTCCACAGGTGTCCTCTCTGTGAGGCCTGGAGATGCCTAATGAGCCAGCCCTCAGCTCAAGAAGCACAGCTCCGGCTGCCCCGAGAACATCCTGAAGATGGATGGCCTGAGCCCGGCCAGGAAGCAAACTCTTCTTAAAGCTTCCAGGCGGTTCCAGAGCCAAGAACTACTAGTCCAACTCCACTGCAGCCCGAGATCAGCACAAAAGGCCACATGATTCACACAGGTTCAGTGTGAGAACCAGGGTGTAAATTTCCTTTTTGACAACTATAAAAGCTCACAAGGTTTCTGTAGCACCTGGCCCCTGGCAGTTGGCAATAATGGCATTAGCAGCAACAGACATGCACAGGCCTCCTGCACTCCCAAGGTGGCCCTACCGACAGACACGGGAGGGTGGACCTGGGTATGGACACCCAGAGCCCACTGCTAGGGGAGGCCCATGGCAAAATGCTCTCTGAGCAGAGGAAAGTCGCTGCTGATGGCAGCGCCTGAATCGCTTGTTCACACTTTTCTCACAATCCTACTTGGAGGACTTGTGGAGCAGTGATGGTCTCCAGCTTATCCTTGCTCGCTCCAGCCCGCCTTTCCTTGCTGGCCACACTCATCCCTTCCCTGCTGCTCCAATAACAGAGCCACCCCAGAGCAGGCCTCACCTTGATGACCCGCAGGGGCTTGCTGGGGTTATTCTTGTCCAGGTAGTTGATGTATCCAGACAGGGAGATGCTGAGCAGGTGGTCCTTCTGCCACAGGCAGCCCAGCTGCTGGTCCAGCACGGTGGAGCCCATGGGGAAAGTGCTCACGACAGAGTTCACATTGACATCCCAAATCTTGGAAGTTTTGTCTCCAGAAGCAGAAAGCAGATGGGTGCTATCAGGACTCCAACTAATCTATTCAAACAAAAACAGTGTGTCACATACCAGAGAACTTCAGAGTGCAGCCTGTCCACTGCCCCCACTTTTGGGCAGGACAAGGCAGAGCCTGGGGAGGGAGTGGGACATTTCCCAGGAAAGAGACACCCACCTCTGGGCGTCCTATTCTGGCCATTGGCTTGTCCAGCCACCTAACCACGACCCTGAAACTCTGCACCCCCCCCCCCGACTTTCAGCCCCTCGTTTCAAGTTTTTGTCTAACTTCAAGATGAGTAGGGATGACTACACACATGGACTCGGCCAAATCCCAAACACCGGGTCAGGAAACAGACTGATACTCACAGCATAAATCCCCCCGTCATGGGCCTTGCTTCCTCCCAGCGCGGACACCTTCTCTCCCGTCTTCCCGTCATAGATGTGTATCTTTCAAGAAATAAAAACGTGCGTGGGTCACGTGTATGCGTGCGAATGTCAGTAGTGAGCATGCCATTTCTCCACTGACTCTAAAACACAAGTGCTGTTAGACTGAGCTTCCAGCACCATCTAAAAGCAGAGACATGTGTACTGGGGTTTGATGACACACCCCAGGAGATGCCTAATTTCTGCGAGGCAGAAGCAGCTCTCTTGGGCCTGTCGCAGGTGCAGGCAGATAAGTCACCCCCCCCTCCCCAAGCCCTTACCTGGCCGTCAGCACTTGCTGTGGCAAATCTGTTCCCGTCGGGAGAGAATCTCACACAGTTGACAAAGCGGCTGTGGTCCTGCAGGAAAACAGACAGTTACTCATCTAACAAGGGGCTGCAGGCTGCACCTGGTTCAGGTAAGATCTGTCTGAAACACAGAGCTGATTTTCAGCTTTAGCTACTGTGAAGATATGATGTGAACTGTTGTCCACAGGAACATTTCAGAACTTTAGCAGCCCCTGTCCTGCCTGACCACTCTGCCTGCCTGGAAGGTGGGCCCAGCTGCAACAAGGTGGGTCGTCCTCTGGCTTAGCCTCTCTCCCCTACCAAGTGTCCCCTGAGCTGTCTTCTTCCTGCTGGGCCTTGGAGAGAGCTTGAACCCCAATCCTAAAGCATTTGCTGGAGGAATAAGTGATTTTTCAACAAAATTAAACAACGGCTATGACCTTCATTGGGAATAAGAGTCTGAGTGGCTGAGCAGAAATGACCTCTGGGGGCAAGTTCCTCACCCGAGTGAGTAAATGAATTAATTCCTTTCTCGACCAACAAGCGTTCACAGCAGAGGATGACCCTTTAAACGCCCATCGCAGAGCTGCGGCAGAGTGCCCACTGCACGTGCCCCGCAGACACTGCTGACCCAGCAAGCACAGTCGGTACCAACTACCAACTCTCCAGCACAAGAGGGTGAACAGACACCCACCTGCAGAAAAGACCATTTAACCCAATGCAGATCATCAGCCCCTCCCCAAGGCAAATCACCAACTTAATTTTAAAGCACAAGCTGCTTCTGTGGAGGGAACCGATGTAATGTTTTGGGGTGAATTCTGCCCCTCTAAGATATAATGAAGTCCTAACCCTGGGTACCTATGAATGGGACCTTATTTGGAAACAGGGTCTTTGCAGAAGTAATCAAGTTAAGATGAGATCATAAGGGTGGCCCCTAAATCCAATAGGACCAGTGCTCTCACAAGGTGAGGGAAATTTGGACACAGGTGCAGACACAGAAGTGAAGTTATAGGCAGAGATTGGAAGCGTGCTCACCAAAGTAATACTGAGGGCTGTCAGAATCTAGAAAGACTATGCAGGACTCAGGGAGTGTGGCCTTGCCCACACCTTGGTCATGGCTTCTGGCTTCCAGACTGAGCAAATAAATTTCTGTTGTGTAAGCCACCCAGTCTGTGGTGGTCTGCTGTGGTAGCCCCAGCAAACTAACATGTGTATTTAGGTAATTAAGTATGAAATGTTTGATTTCCTCAAGTACTAAGTTTGACAGTTGATATCTCTTGACATTACACTTTGACACTTCTTGTTTTATTTTTATTGTGAAGGTACAGCCTCAGTCTTGCAAATGCAGTTTGGCTTGTGATTATCTTTCAGATTTTTATTTAAAGCAATTTTTATGAAACCATGGGTAAGCCACAAATTTGTGTTATTTTCAAATATGAGTTCTGTTGTGGAACTAATGCAGGGCAGAAAGTTCAAAATAGCAACGCAGTATTTGGGGACGATGTAGCTAATGAACGTACACTACATTAATGGTTTGAGAAATTCTGTTGGTGATTTTAATCTTGAAAATGAGTCACATGGGCAACCTAAGACCAAGGTGGATAATGATGAGCTGAAAGCAGTAGTGGAAGTGAATCCATTTTAACCTATGCATGAATTCTGTTGGTGATTTTAATCTTGAAAATGAGCCTCGTGAGTGACCAGAGACCAAGGTGGATAATGATGAGCTGAAAGCTGTAGTGGAAGCAAATCCATCTTAACCTATGCATGAATTAGCAGCAAGGTCTGATGTTACTATTTCAAGAATATTGGACCATTTGTAACTAATCAGCAAAGTAAAGAAGCTGGATAGATGGGGACTGCACGAACTAAACGAGCATCATAAGAGAAATTGTCTAGAGGCTTGCCTTTCTTTGCTGTCATGACATAAAGAGGAACCATTTCTACACCATATTGTTACGTGTAATGAAAAGTGGATTCTTTTTGACAACTACAAGTGTTTGGCACAATGGTTAGATAAAGATCAAGTGTTGAAATACAGTCCAAAACCGAATATTCATCAAAAAAAGCCAATGGTGGCTGGGTGCGGTAGCTCATGCCTGTAATCCTAGCACTCTGGGAAGCTGAGGCGGGAGGATTGCTTGAACTCAGGAGTTCAAGACCAGCCTGAGCAAGACCCCGTCTCTACTATAAATAGAAAGAAATTAGCCAAACAACTAAAAATAGAAAAAATTAGCCAGGTATTGTGGCGCATGCCTGTAGTCCCAGCTACGATCGCTTCAACCCAGGAGTTTGAGGTTGCTGTGAGGTAGGCTGACACCACGGCTCTCTAGCCCAGGCAAGAGAGATGAAAAAATTAAAAAAAGCTAATGGTGTCTGTTTGGCGGTCCAGCACTGGTATTATCCACTATAGCTTTATGAAACCCGGTCAATGGATTACAGCAGATGTCTACTGCAACCAATTGGATGAAATGATGCGGATGCTTGCGATTAAGCAGCTGAGACTGGGCAAGAGACAGCCCAATCCTCTTGCAAGACAATGCTAGACCACATGTTGCATAAACAACACTGCTCAAACTACAGCAGGTGGACTTGGAAACTCTCTGTCATCCACCATATTCACCAGACCTTGCACCAACTGACTACCACTTCTTCCAGGCTTTGGACTTCTTGTAAGGAAAAACATTCAATTCTCAACAAGCTGTGGAAAACGCCTTTTGCGATTTCATCACCACTTGCTCTCCAAGCTTCCCTGCTGTTGGCGTAAGCAAGCTACCATTAAGATGGCAAAACTGTCTCAATAGTTTAGGTGCATACTTTAATTGTACTGTTTCTTTCTTGTTTGAGATATAATGAACTACACTGTTGATTCAAAATTGGACATTTCATATTTAATGACCTGATAATAAACACTGTCTGTAATGCTCACATAATAACCCTTGCAGGTAAACTATGCCCATTTTACTGATGAAATGAGGGTCCAGAAAGAGCAGTCAGGTGCCTGAGGTTCCGTGGCACCATGCTCAGTCTGCAAAGTACCGCCAGGAGACAGATTCCACGCTGTTGGGCAATTCCTGCAGGGCAGCAGCTCTCGTCTCACAGAACCATTCAGTCAGTTCAGGTCTGGGCTCCAGGACACCCACTGGCAGCCCTGGTAGGTGCAGACGGAAATTCTCTGGGCCAGAAAAGAGATGCAGCCCCAGACCTGCAGCACAAAGCAACCCCATACTTCCCACTCACCAGTTACCCACTTCCCTCAGCCATTAGCCCAAACCTCACTCCCCCCAAACCCTTCCTCAGGGTGCTGCCAAGTGTGCTCATGCTGGACACGGGTAAGGCTGAGCCCTGGTCCTGAGCTGAACCAGAATCTCCCCCGTCACCAACCCATGTTTTAATTAAGATTACAAAAGCTTGAGAAATCAAATATCCTGGCAATGGGGAGTCTGGTAATTAACTGCTTGAGATTTATTGAGGGCGACCACAATCATGGTTCCCACCCCAGCGGACGAGCAGACTGTCCTTCCTGCCTCATTTCAGCGAGGGCTGTCATCAGACTAAATTCTGTCCTACGACTGCAGAGCTCATTCTCTGTGGACTGTGGCCACCACCCACAAGGGTGGGGGATGGAAGCACTGAGCTGTCTTAGGCTGAGCCCACATGGACTCTGGGTTGTGACAGCCGTGCAGGCTGATAAGTCCCTGGCCTGCCCGCCTGTGTTGTGCTTTTTCAGTTTCTTTCATACATTCATCCTGTCTCTAAGAACTTTTCTGCTTTAACGGGCCGTGCTGTATGTTTTCTAGCATTTCCAGGTGTGTGGAGTTGGGATGATCCACCACACTAACTGAAAGTGAAACTGACTTTCCACACTGGGATCTCAGGCCCTCCTGGCTATGGTCACCTTGCCTCACTTTACCCTCTGGGGCCAGGGAGCCTCCAGGCAAACACCTGCCATAGAAGAACCAAGCCCAGAGAGGGGGAACTTGAGCCACACCACTTGCAAGAATCTGGTTTCCAGTTTCTTGTCTAGAGCACCTGTCTCAGCTGCGCTGGCTCTTGGGCTATGGGCCGATGCTGGGCAGGTTCAGGCAAGTTCTGGCCAGAAGCCAGCCCAGAGGGGTCAGATCCCCCAGGCCTGTCCCCACCCTTTCTGCCCCCACCTCCACCTTTAGGGAGCAGCCCACCCCCATGCCAAGGACCCCGCCCGCATCCACATCCACATCAGCTCGCGTCCCCTGGCTGTGCCAACGGGGGTCAGCTGCTGCAGGAAGGAGCCGGCTGGGGTGCATCCCTGTTGGGAGTGCCTCAGGAGTCTCACCCCCTCAGCCTGTCTGAGGGGGGACGTGGCTACAGACACCACTCACTCCTCCTTCTGGATGAGGTCAAACAACCCAGCTCTTAAATGACAAAACCACAGCTCAAATCTGAGACCAGACCAAAACCCGAGGTTCTCCTGGTGCCCAGCCCTGCTTCTTCAGTGGGTGTGGCCCGTTCTCATCCTCAGCACTGCCCTCACCCTGGCTCTTCTGTCCCCAAAGCCGAGTTTCCTTGATGGTGAAGTGGACAGAGGTTACATAAGCTGGGATCGACTCACCCCTGGGCCCCTCTGACTAAACACGGCAGGGATGGGGAGGCCAGAAGACCTTGCCCCAAATTCAGCAGAGCACTCAGAGCATAGGGTGGGACAACAGGTTCTGATTTCTCTTGCTGTATGTGAGGAACATGCTATGAATCGGAAAAACACTGAGCCACCATTTGGTTTCAACTTGTAACAAACATTGATTTCACTGCCTCCCTATAATCAGAAAACAGATATCCCTATTCCAGGTCTGAGAGCAACCCAAGACACACAAACCCTGGGACCTCAAGCGGCTATCTGTGGCCCACCTCAAAAGCACGCACCTCTGCTGGCACCTCCCACAGGGCCTGGCAGGGGAGTGTCCTGTGTCCCTCCCTGGGCCCTGGGACCACACAGGTTTAAGGGAGGAGCCAGGTGAAGGCTAGACAACACAGATGCCCCTCGAGTAGCAGGCGTGGGCTGGACTCAGAGAGCCTCAGGCTGCAGAACCTCATCCCTGTTACCTTTTCCTGCAACTCGAGCCAAACAGCAAGAGTCCAAATGAGCAGCAGACTAATGTTTGCTCCTGAAATAGCCCCTTCAAAGGGAGAGCACAGTGAACAGCCCATTAACCAAAAAAAAAAAAAAAAGAGGGCTAAAAATAGGCCTCTCCACAGGGAGGCCAGGCCAATGGACAGAGGAGGAGCAGGTTTAGAAATACTGCTGGGAGTTCAGAGACTCCATAGCTTCCTATGGCTGCCTGACTCGGCCACCTCTTGAGCTGGACCCCCAGCCCCACCCCTGCACAGCCTTAGGCCGCCCCTGTGCCCGGTCCACTCCTGCCTTCTGGCTGTAGCCAACACGTGCTACAGCCCCCCTGGGCTGGATTGTGTCAAGGAAGCCCCCCCTTGAGGAAACTGGGGCCTGAAATAACAAAGTAACAAGTAACACACCCAAGAACATGTCACTGATAGGGAGAGAGTGCCACTGGGCTCCCGGTGGCCTGAGTCCAGCAGGCATACACCACTACCTGGTCAGCTCGGGTGTCACCTGGGACCCCTCTGTTCCCAGCAGCCTCAGCTGAGCCAGTACGTAAGAGGATAGCCCGTGTCCAGCCATGCCGTGCACATGTCTATGAGCCACACCACAAGGTGCACGAAGGCCGACAAGTGAGAGTTAGGCCCTTTATCACTCATCCAGAATACCCACCACAGGCCGTGCCTGGCATGGAGAAACACCCATGGGTGCAGTGGGGGAGGCAGGGAGAACATCTCAACACCCCTCCCCACAAAGCCTCCATTTCAGCCCCAGCCTCCTGTGATCCTGGGTGGCTGGTGGGTGAGGATGAGTTGGGATCGGGCCTGTTCTGGGCAAAAGGCTTCTCCACCCCATCCTCTACCTGTCTTGTTCAGGTTCATGCGGACAAGGAGCCAAGCTGAGCCGTGGTCTCTCAGGCCTGGAGGGCGCACAGGACAGCCCGGCTAAAGCAGAGCTGAGACTCAATTTCAGTGAAGCCAGAAGTTGATGCTCTCTCCACACGATGGACCCTTAACAAAAAGGAAAAGCGCCAGGAACCCCAGACTCGGGCCAGCGAGATGGAGGGTGGCTTGCCCAAGTTCACTACGTAAGGTCCTGCTTGCTTTTCTACGAAATGCTGTTTGCATTTTCACTCAGGCTTGGCATTGTTGGGGCTTTGTTTTGTCATGTACTGAAATTCAGAATATGACTCGCTCCTCTCAAGGCAGCACTCCAGCCAGAGCCCTCCGGGCCCTCCCCAACAATGTCTCCCTCCTCCCCCACAGGTGGGTCCCAGGGCTCAGCCATGTGGCCTCCTGGGGAGGGGTGGGCACAGATGCCACCACAGCTGCTCACTCTCGCAGGAAGGTTCTAGCAGGCACAGGCTGCGAGGGCTTGAGGGCTGGGGAGGAAGGCAGGCAGCCGTGACCCCAGGTGGTCATGGGGTTGGGAATGAAAGATTTCGGGAGAAAAGACTGTTACTGTTTGGATTTCACAGGAGGAACTTAATTTCCTCTAAAAAAAAAAAAAAATCCCACACATACTTTAATTTTAAAAAGCTTTTGCTACAAAAGGCTCAATTAATTCCTCAGAACCTCCTCATCCCAGCTTTTGACTGAGAAGAATGCATATAAGGAAAGAGGCCTGGCAGGAGGCTCTGCCCCGGGCCTTCAGCCCAGTCCTCCCCTGCCTCACTTAACCTCGATGCCTTCGGCTCACTTCCCATCGTCTGCACCATTGCCCTCTGGCTCTGGGGAAAAAGCCAGCTTGTGCCACAGGTGTGGGGTCCCTGAGAGCCCTCCCTGTCCTTTCGACACCAGGCCAGCTGAACCTGTTGCAATCTTTTCAGATGGACCCCCACGCACGTCCTTGTGAATACATGGATGTCCCCTGGCACCTCTCCCGTTTTCCCCACAGCTGTGGGCTTGGTGGAGGAAGGCCATCACGACCCTATTTCCTGGGGGGCCTGGAGGCATAGGACTCCCCCAGAGATCAGGGGCCGGGCCAGCTAGCTCAGCGCTGCCACCCAGTGTCTGTGCTCCTTGGGCCATAGCCCTATGGATCTCTCCCAGGTCCTCAAACAGAACTTGTAGGTGAGGCCTCCACAGGAAGACTTCAGGACACACAGTGCTGCCTGCCCTGGAGACGGGCTGGGTGGACAAACATTTCTACCTGACACTCCTGGGCTGGGGCTGTAGGGTGGTGACCATTCTAAGGTTAGAAACAAAGAGGAAACAGGAAAATATTCTGGCCAAGCCCCCGAGCAAGCACACAGTGGTGCAGAACGCAGCCTTGAGTCCATTGCCTGGAAGGAAACCCTGGCTCCACTTAATGTCATTGTGCAGCTCCATGCCTGGTTTAATCCACATCTGCCAAGAGCAAATGGTCCCTTCCCAGGGCAGGGAAAGAAGCCCCCACCCACACTCAGCCCAGATCACAGCCAAATGAGACCAAACAGGATGTGGAGGGCTGGGCAGTGGGGTAGTGGCACTGGAAACAGGCCAGGAGGGCCCTGTGTGCCGTGGAAGTCTCTCCTCCTTCTCCCTTCTCTGGGATGCTCAGCTGACTTAGCATTTCTCATCCTCTGTCCCACAGCACGCCCCCACTGACCTGGAGCCACAGCCTTCCACAAAGCTCCCAAAATAGCCAGGTCTGTAGTACCTACCAATTAGGCAGTGGCCACCGGGGCAGGATCTAAGAACTACAGGGTGTCCGGAAGGGACCTTTGGGCTGCATGCTCTGTTGGACACAGGATACCTCACTCACGCTTCCCACGCAGCCCGCCAGGCCCTGCACAGCCTGAGGCTCCAGGGATGACATGAAGCCTGTTTCACTCTAAGTGAAGAATCCTTGGAGAGCCCTCCTGTACCCTAAGCCAAGATTTGTCTCTGGGAATTCTGCCCACTTCGTGCACCCTGCACCCGCTATTTATGATTCACTGTGTTAAGTTATTAAAACACACAGTGCTCCTCAGTGAGCCACTTTAAGGACATGATCTCATCTGAGCCTCCATGAGGCAGAGACACTCAAGACCACGGATGCTCCTGAAGGACGATGAGACCTGAGACCTCCAGGCAATCCCCAAACTCAACCACCTCCAAGGACATAAACTAACCCTCAGATGCACACATTTGGGTTCTGCGTGGTCCCACCATCCTTTTCTCACCCACAGCACATGTGCTAAGAGTAACTGGGAGAGCCCGGGCAGGCCGAGAATCACAGATCACGCTGGGACAGGCTGCTGCTCTTCCCTGCATCGCCCTCACTCCAACCACTGGGGCAGGAAAATGGCATTGCAGCTGCTCCAGACCAGCTGGGCAGGCACTCCTGGTTCAAATTCACAGTTAAAACCATCAGATGCTGATGGTCCCCACAGACCCCATCTTATAGACGGGAAAATTGAGGGATAGTGAAGCCTGGGCTCTTGTCCAAGAGAGGGAGCATGCGCAGTGTGGGGCTGAGACCCTGCCATTTATGCCCACAGACTACTCCACTGGGGCACTGTTGGCATGTTTTTTCCACAAAGGGGCTCTAATTCTTCTAATTGTACATTGCTTTGCATACATGTCTCTGCCTTCATCGCCTCTAGGGAGTCCCTGAGAGGCCAACCCTGACTCCCTGCAAGCCCATTTCCTCTGCTGCTTTGGTGGCGCTGATGAGAGCGAGCTTAGCAGGTGTGAGGTTTCCACAACTGAAGAGCTGGCTGACAAAACTCCGGGCTCCACAGGCTCCCCTTTCTAATGGGCACTTCCAGCCTAGGATGCTTGCCTGAACGCAGGCACCAGAGACGCCCCTGCCCCTACCCCTGTTGTGTGCACATTGTCCAGGGCAGGGACCCTCTGTGCTGAAATCTCACATGCTTGGTTGAGGCCCTAGGAGGGCAAGTGGTGAGACTGGAGAGACCTCCCCTATTTACATACATTACCCAACAAGTGCACTTGCGCCTACAGATCATGGCACAGGTGTGCTGTGATGTTTCTACCATCAGTATCTAAAAAGGCCTCCACTCTGTTGGTCTCACATACAAACCACAAAGTCCATCCAAAAACCACTGTAAGAGAGAAGCCCACTTACTCCAATTGTGAACTTGAACTTGAATGGGGGTCCTTCAAAGAATGCAGCGCAGTTATCATCACTTCCCGTCGCCAGCCGGTATGGCCTGCTCTGCTTGATGTCCACACTGTTGATGACTTTGTTGTGTCCCGTGATCTCGCCCACAGAAGAGCCACTGTCCCACAGGAAGACGGCTCCAAACCTGGACCCAACGAGAGGAGTCAAAGGAAAAAAAAATCAATCCTGGACGGTCGATGAGAAATGTGATAGCTGAGCTCCCAGTGCACCAAGGACAGGAGTGAATGTTAGGAGGGCAGCTTGGGAAGTTAAAGGAACAAACTTGAAAGCACTGTGATTCTGGCTCTGCGGGTATTTATCCAAAAGATCTAAGGGCAGGTAGGGACAACCTAGGTGCTTTTGGGGAGGGACCGCATGTACGTGTCTGTACGGCTCCATGCCAAAGTACCTCCCGCATGACAGGTGCCTCAGAAACACCTGCCCAGGGAGGATCTTTACAGCTTCATCGCTCTCATAATGGTTCTATGGGCAGGGGCCGGGAAGCAGACCAGTTACTATCCCCTAAAGGAACGGAGACGCCTTGCTCTCGACTGGCATTAAAAAAAAAACATAACGTGGTAGTTAATATTTGCTACCAAATGAAAAAGGAACAAAGACCAACAGGAATGATTTGAAAAACCATGGAAAAATTAATACCCACCAGTGCACAAACTAAGAAGTGCCTCTCAGGGAGAGAAATAAAGACATGTGGCAGTCAAGTTCAAGCCCTTGTAGGCAGCCACGGTGCTGTGCAAGGAACCCTGACGGCTCTTGGAATAAGGAAGCCTGGGTTCCAGCACTGACCTGCCAGTCACCAGGCCCACGAGGAAGCACCCACCACTCCAGCGTCCACTGGGCCTTGTTCCTTGCTTAGGGAACCTTAGGTGACTCACCCAGCTGGGAGCACAGTCTAGTCTCTTTTGCAGGTTCATATGGCAGCTGCCAGAAGGGACCCTGATAAAAGAGGTAGCTTTTGCCTTGTCCCCCTCCTGCTGCCTGGAAGGTGGGCACAGCAGCTGGGAGGCGAGGGTCTCAGGATGTCAGAGGAGAGTGAGGCCCTGGGGACAGAGCCACTGTGATGTGGAGCTCTTCCTCACATGTGGTCAGTCACCACCTGTGAAGGCGGCTGGGGGCCTGGCCCCTACTGGGAGCTCAACCTCTACTGGTCCAAGCTGACACAGACAGCACTGCGCCCCGTCCCACCCAGGCATAGCATGTGGAGCACAGGCCACGGGACGGGCAGAGTGGCCAAGGGAGTGACTCACTTCTCCCTTCCTTCCCCGACCACGGCGATCCTCTTACTGTCTTCGGTCCAAGCAATGTCTTTAATCTTCCCTGCGAAGGGCTGATACTCATACTTCAGCAGGTGCTCCTTCTGCGTAGTGTCCCAGATCCTCAGCTTCCCAGACACATCTGTGGGACACACAGGGGTGGTATGAGTCACATGTCACCGCTGGAAAAGGGCTACGTGGCCACAAGCCCACTCAGCACCACCTCTGGTTTCTCGGGCTTCCTAGAAGGAAATGACATTCAGCCACCCTCCAAGCAGAGCCTGCTGTCCCCACGAGGGCTGCTACTTGGGGTCTCTGCATTTCACCAGCAATCACCTGGGAAACAAACCCTGCTCAGGTGTCAGAAAAAGCACAGGACACATGATAGTAACATTTCAATATGCTATGAAGCAGTTTAGTTACTGTATTTCTCTGCTTGTAGGGGCATCTAAATGGCCTATAGGCCTTGGACAACCTTTGTAAAAGTGAGAAGATTAGCTATGCCCCCATTTCCTGTGCCGCTGCTGCAGGAACTAACAGAGCTGAGGTGTGCAGCTATGTGGCACAGCCATGCAGCCTGGGGTGGCGCTGTGGCTTGGCCTGGTGGCCCTCGACAGGGGTCAGCAGACCTGGCCCCTCCGCGCAGCTCCCTGACAGCACGCTGCCAGGCTGACTGGCAGCCTTACTCGCTACCAGGAACGCTCCATAGCTTGCAGGAAGCAAAAGTGTGAGTAAAAGTCTTTTGAGCGACCTACAAGGTAGGTGTTGTGAGGGGAGGAGACCCATACACTGAACCTGATGGCACAGTGTTCTCACCGGAGCGTGGGCCGCCAACTGCAATAGAGCAATGCTGGAGGCCACACACCTCCCTCCCACGCCACGATCCTGTCACCAAGTATCGACTCCCAGCCAGACACACCCCTTCCAAATCAGCACCGTGTCAGCGTAAGAAACGGGAGCATCTCACACAAACTCTTGGGCTAAGAAAAGAACCTCAGCCCAGGCCTCCAAGTAGGTAGAGGTGCTGAGCTTTCTCCAGAGGACCCCTGGCCACGTCAGTACCAACACAACCCCAGTTGTTTTCAGTGAAAATAGTGCCTGCTTAAACGGCACCCGTTTTCTTGGTTGAGCCAAGGCAAGGGAGGGCAGCAGCCAAGAGATGGGCCTCAGGAGCAGGCGTCCCAGGTTCAAACCAGCCTCTGGCACATTCAGGCTTTGTGGGCCTCATCAAGCACATGGCCACCATGTCCTTTCACACAAGAGGGGAAAATAAAAGAGCCCCCTCACAGCGCTGCTGTAGGGCTTGACAAGTTAACACGTACAGTCTCTGGCTAGTCCTCAGTATGCAGGAGCACTTGACACGAGTCAGCCAGGACTAGTTATGAATGAACTGAGGCTACCAGAGGCCCTGAACTTATGAGCACACACAGAGCCTGAGCCCAGACTGGGCTAGGCCCTAAGACTTGGGAGGCCCATGTGAGGACTGTCCCCCGTGCTCAGCTGAGCTACGGGGACAGACAAAGACAAGAGGAGATGCCAAGTCCACAGGAGCAGCACTAACTGGGGGAGTCCCAGAGAGCCTGGGGTCCTCTGGGAGAGGTCCTGGCATGTGGCCAGAGGTAAGTTCCGAAGACAACCTGGAGATCTGGTTAGTGAAGTCCCATCTCCAGTCAAACAGGTGAGCGGGAAAAGAAAGGGAAGTCAGTAGAGGCCGGCAGCTTCAGAGGAGGAATGCTGGGTGTGCAGGAAGGACATACACACGTGTGCACACGCGCCCTCACGTGTACTCACAAACACACACTGCCCCATGGAGAGGACAATGCTCCCCAGGATAGGGTGGAGGGCATCTCACCCTCCACCCCAGGACTGGGCCCAGAGTTCCCGCCTCCCTGGGATCAATGAGCCACTGCCTGCTCCTCTCATCAGCGCAGCCTCCAGTCCAGGCCTGGCTTCCCAGCCACCTCCCGCCCACCATCTCACCAGCCTCCTCCATGGGCCCTGCTCACTTGTGTAATTCCTTTCAGAAGCAGCCAGGACAGGAAAGAGACAGTAGGGGCCTAGGATCAGGTGCTCAGGCCATGATCCGATGAGAACAATGCTGCCGCAGTCCCCAAACACTGGCCAGGGCCTGCTGGGGGCCAATTCATGTGCTGGGGGAATAGCAGTGACCCTAACAGACTAAGCACTTGCCCTGCAGAAGGGTCTACAGAGGGGGCAGACAATAAAAGCACAGCTTCCATTTCGTGTCCATCCACATGGCACCAGGAAGAAAAGCTTAGCAATGCTGGGACAGGGGAGGATGGGGCAGGCTCCTTCCCTCCACAAACTCTTGCTCACCACCAGGGCAAGGGGCTGCACAGTGGAGTGACGGTGCTCAGGGCACCTGCACCATCCCTGTGCCCCATGCGCAAGGGCACAGAGCTGCTCAGCAAACCCATGGGATGAAGCAGATGGGGTGGCAGGCGGGAGAGCCAGCCCTCCAGTCCCAGGGAGAGTTCTGCTCACAACTGAGCTGCAGCCTGGTCTTCCCTGGTCTGAGCAACCCTCACAGCCTCCATCCCTGGGCACAGATGACCCTTCCTCCAGGAAGCCCACCCTGGGCTTACACCCAAACCAGATGTCTGCCATTCTCTGCACCCCAATGGCCACTGGGAATCGCTGCCTGGGTGCTGAGGGGACTGGGCAACGGGGCAAACCACTAGCGTGGAGCTATCTCCAGAAAAACAGAGGATGGGGCCTGCCCCAGAAATAACCCCTGCACTTTGAGAACCATAATGCGGGAATGCAGGCTCCCAGCAGGCAGAGACTGTCTCGTTCAGTGCTGGAGGTTCCCAGGCATGGAGGTTTCTGCAGCCGTGGTCCAGTTAGCCTGGCAGGATCTAAAGAGCCCACAGAGGGCTGGGACCCCATCTGGGCTTCCTGAGGTGCTGGAAACCCTCCACCCAGCTGGGCACACCAGGTATCAGGTAACCCACTTAGTGAGCAGGCACTTCCTGAGCCGCCCTCCTCCTCCCTCCAAGCCCTACACACCACACTATTTTTAGTCCAACTCCATCTCTGCAGCAAATGTTCCACTGTAACCCTTAACAATCACTTCACTCTGTACAAAGAAACGTATCAGGAATGGAAAACGTGATCACCACCCAAGAATACGTGGACTGAGTAAGGCCTCAAACCCCCTTGGTTCCTCAAACCCCCTTGGTTCCTCAAACCCCCTTGGTTCCTCAAACCCCCTCCACCATATCAGGATGTTTTTAACAAGAGAGAATAGACTGATGGTCGTTTATTTATGGGGACCATCCTTTGCGTCAGTCTTGGACACGACACGGCCTTCTTTGTAGATTCTGCAGCAGCATCTGAAGGCCATTGATTTCTGTCTCGAAAACCCCTTTGGGACCCCAGAGAGGGCAGGTCTGGGCTGGCAGGCTCTTGGCTTGACGCTGACAGAGCAGGGAAGCCGTGCCAGGCAGGGGGCGGAGGCCCTGCCAACCACATTCCTTTCCCGAGAAGACACTGCTCAGAGCACCCACCTCCATGTTAAACACAAATGAAAAGACGTTTGGGCTAAATCTTGGGGCTTTAAATGAAGAGACATTTTGCTGGCAAGCAGGGCCGGGGGAAAAAATAAATCACATGGCTAAAATAAAACATGAGATATAAATTAGAGCAAGTTTTACAGATGGAGTTGGAGTTGATCTCAACACTAAAATCATTAAGAACCTATTACACACCAGACTCCTGGCCTGGCCCTCACCATGACCTCGGCTGGCCTGCCATCCCAGCTGGATCAGTGCAGGGCCCCAGTTTTGGTGATAGACAGTGTGGTCACCCTGGGGTTAAGCGGTGCAAGAACTGTGGTGCACTGCGTCAGCAGCCTCAGCTCACAGGAAGGGAAAATGAAGGCCCAGAAAGGGAAGTTCTTCCACTAAGGCTGCATGGCTAGCAAGGGGCTACTATGGTTTGAATGTGCCCCCCAAAAGCATGTGCTGGAAAGTTCATCCCCAATGCAACAGTGTAGGCGGTGGGCCTAACAAGGTGACCAGGCTACCAGGGCTGTCCTCATGGATGGCTTACTGCTGTTATCAAGGGGGTGGGATTCCTTACAAAAGGACAAGTTCAACCCCCTGGCGCTCTCTCATCCTCTTTCTTCTTCTGCCATGGGATGACACAGCAAGAAAGCCCCTCAGTCCCCAACTCCCCAGCCCCCAGAACCATAAGCCAATTCATTATAAATTACCCAGTCTGTAGCATCTGTTGTAGCAGCACAAAACAGACTAACACAGGGCTGAACCCAGGTCTCCCCCAACCCCAAAGCCTGTTGTCTCCCAGACATACAGGAACAGGCTGCTGTGCACACGCAGGGCAGTGCAAGCAGGACCCAGCAGCACATGTTAATCCCGCCCTTCCCTCCTGGTTGTCTAGCTTGTTCAGCGATCTGGTCGTGGTGTCACTCTCTAGACATGCTGACGGGGCCCACATCAACTCACCACTTGGCTCTCCCTGGGGCTGGAAACAGGGCTAAGTATGGCAGGCAATAAATATTTGTTGAGCATGTGAATGAATGGATAATTGAGTGAGTGAATGAATGGGACCCCACTCCAACTTTTGTGCCTCCTGCTCTCATCTATAAAGGTAAAGCTCGCCCTCAAGGAGTTAAGTGAATAAAGCTCCCGCAAGCGTGAAGATCTTTCCGCCCCTTGCCCAGCCTCCTCCCGTGCCACACAAAAGCCCATGCTGCAGAGAGCAAAGGCCCAGTTTACAAATACAACATAAGCGCTTGCTCTGAGGCCAGCACTGTGTCAGGCACTGGGAAAGGACAGCGGACAAGAACAACACAAAACTACAATTCAGACACACATGTAGTGAGCTCCAGCATGTCATGCGGCTACCCGCAGAAGGCCTCTGGCCAACCTCACAGGAGCCATTTCTGCTGACCTCCGAGTTGGAACCAACTGGAATACTCAGAACTAGAAAGTATATTTTCTAGAACTAAGACCAGTTCTGGAATGGGGCACTTCAGTGTCTTATACTTTCCTTGTCAGCCCCAACTGAAACTACATACACTGGTCCTCTCTCTCCCCATCCTACCCCCAGCCAGGAGCCCTGCTCAGCCTTGGGTCCCAAGTGCCACCTGGGCCACACCACATACCTCCAGAGGCGATGTAGAATCCGCTGGGCGCGTACTTGGCTACCACCACCTGATGGGCATGCTCCGTGTAGATGTCGGCCACAGCTGGGTTCTGCAGGGAGGAGACCCCAGAATGAACAGAAGGAACATAGAGCAGCTAAGCTGCTTCCAGCTCTATAAGTTAACACATTTGTGGGGAAAAAATGACATGCACAGAAACTCCTTAAGTCAAAAACTCCATAAAGAAAACCCTAGAAACATACATCTACCTGCCTATCTTTGGGTGATAGAATTTTAGGTAGTTTTAACTCTTTTTCTTTAGTCTATGATTACAGAATTCAGAGGCTTTTTTTTTTCTTATCTGCTTTTCTGTCTTTTCCATAATACAGAATATATACTTGTAAAATATATACATGAAGTTTGATTGAAAAAGCCACCATGGTTCCCACTGTCCCCTACTTGTGGGAAGCTGCCAGTTGAGGCTGCCTGCATTCCAGGACTGGCGTCCCAACTTCCCCAGGCTGAGCACCCTCTCACTCAGGATCAGCTCTCCTGGGGCTGCCCTCTGATGCCCAAATGCCCCAAACAGAGCTCCTGGCTGTGCCATGCAGGGCCAGAGTGGGGCATGCAGCTGGACCTTTGTCAAAAACCTGGGTTTGGGATGAAACCTCAATTCCCCACTACCTTTTGCAGCACAGACATAGGCATAACACACACACACACACACACACACACACACACACACACGTCTCCACAGTCAAGCTTTCTCTTGGGAGGTAATAAAGACATGGCCATCTAATCTCTCTGATACCTGCTGTCAGCTTTCCATAAACCAAGTGCTCCTTGAAGACGCAGCTTCTTACACACTCCGGGCTGAGCACCAATGAGCCTGACCTGCTTCCTGAAGGCTGGTCAGGCACATCTAACTTGACCCACCACCTACCACTTCAGCCCCCTTGTCTCCTGCGGCCCCCTTGACAAGAGCCCGGGACTTGCAATCTCCTCAGCCTCTAGGTCCCAGGACCCCCATGTTGACCTACACCCCAAGAATGAGACCTGAGACACATATCCCAAACCCCAACCCCCTCTTGCCAAGCTCCACGTCTCTGCGAGTGCTGAGCTCTCAGACTGTGGCACCTGCTCTGCCTGCTGGCACCTAATCACCCAGCAGGCCTCCCTGAAGCGACACCTCCCCCATGAAGCCTCCGAAGGTGGCTCCTATACTGCTAGCAATATTGTTCTTCTGTGTTGCCAAAGCATTGAGGCACAACACACATTACAGTCCCTAATGTCCTTGTCCATGGCCCCCAACTTTTCTGTGACCTGCTTAAGGTGACATTCACCTCTTTATAGCCATCACAGCACTTAACTAATAACATGTGCTCAATAAATGGTTTGGGGAGGAAAAATATTTTACATAGTCCTCCTCTTTCATCCCTAAGACTTAACACTTAGCATTATGTGATACAGTAGATACTTGTGATATGTGATTCATGATTTAACCCACTCTGGAATAAACATTTGCTAATGAAATTAGAAAGATATCAAGATGTCGACTATCTATCCAAAGAAGGTAATATGAATGGTATACAAGCACATGAAAAGTTGATCAGCATCACTAGTTTTCTGGGAAACGCAAATCAAAACTACAATGAGATACCATTTCACACACACTGGAACCCATACAATTAAGAGACTGATGTCACCAAGGATGACAAGGATGGAGGGCTGGGGACACTGCAATGTTCATACCCTGCTGGTGGAAATACAAAATGATATAGCTGGAAAACAGTTTGGCAGGTTATTTATAAAGTTAAACATACACTAATCATACAAAATACCAGCAAACCCACTCCTAGATCTACTCAGGAGAAATGAAAACACATGCCCACAAAGAGACATGTGAATGACGTTCACAGATAGCTCCAAAGCGGGAACTCCCAAATGTCCATCAACAGGTGAACAGAGAAACAACCGTGGTACATCCATTCAATGCAAAGCTGCTCAGCCATAGAAAGGAATAAAATGCAAATGCTCAACAGCAGGAAGGAATCTCAAAAGCTTATGCTAAGTGAAAAAGCCAGGCAGAAAAGACTACACATCTCAAAAAGCATTAGATCTTGCGAGAAAAAACATAAAAAAAAAAAAAAGACTACACATTGCATGATTTCCCTTCATATGAAAGAAATTCGAGGAAAGGCAAGCCTAATGACAGAGAGTGGATCAGCAGCAGCTAGGGGCGGGGGTGGAGGGCACCTTGTGGATAGACGGAGTGTCTGTGTCATGACTTCAGTGGTGGTTATGCGACTATACATATACCAGTCAAGACCCAAGTTGTATACTTAACACTGACAGATTTTACTTGTATCTAAATTACACCTCATAAAACTAAGCTGCTGGTTGGTTGTCTATTAAATGCCTGCCTGATCCACTCCTCTCCTGCTCAGATTAGTCCTTCATATTTCAATGTCCTGACACAGACCAGTTCCCTCACCTGGCAAAAAGTGACCTCTCAGACACTGTCCTGGTGCCCACTCGTGGCTGATTGAGGGTCCTCTGCTCACACACAGGGCACACCCCTCCACCCCAGCCCTCACTGGCTCCTGGTGAACTCTGCATGGGCAACACTGTCTTGGAAGGGTGGGAAGGGCATCCCACAGATGGAAGATGACTAGGCAAGACCACAGAGTCAAGTTCTGCCCTTAAAAATTCCTTCCCCTAAATGGTCAGGGCTGTGTGTAAATCCCCAAGGGCACCCGAATCCTGCCTGCTCCATGAATCACTCACTCGTTTGTATTCTAAATACAACTGGGTCAGCGTGGGGGGAGACACTCCAAACTGCAGATAATGACTTACATCTGAGTCACAGCAACCTCCTGCCCACGCTGCTCAGCTTGCAGAGGGAGGCCGCTTACTAGAGCCAGAAAGACACCTCCCCTGTCCCTACTGTCACTGCTTGTTAGGTTCATTCCAGATCAGCTGGGTCCAGATGGCACTTGGACACCCCCGCTGTGCCCTCCCTCCCTCCTATGGTCTTGGGGAAGGAGAACAGGAAGCCAATCCCAGGGCCCAGCGTGCCGTTAGTGCTGCGGGCAGGGGCTCCATCTCCCAGCGGGGATGGGGAGTCTCTGCCTGGGGGAGCCCCTCCTCCAGGGCTTCCTTCCTGTGCTGCCGCAGAGTCCTCACCCCAGTCTGGCCCATCCTCTCTCCTTCCACCCTGGCCAAGCTCTTCCTGTCCCTCCTGGGGACAGCAACAACTGCTTCCTAATTCATCTCTCCATCTACCAATCTGCCAATCTCTACCTCACGCCACTGATGACCTCACGCTCTTGCCTGCTATCCCCTGTCCTGGCTCCTCTTGGGAGCTGCCCTGAGGCCCCCCCCCATACCAGGATCCCCAGGCTTTGTGCCTCCTTGATGTTGCCAGGAGCTCCCTGGGCCAGACCTGCCAACCCACTGACCCATGACCCTCACCCCTAGCCCCACCTGGGGGCTAGGACAAGACCTCCGGACAAGCCCTAGAATTCTGGCATCACCCCCAACCCGCCCACCCCCCAAGGAAATCAGGGGGCCTCCCAGAAGACACGAAGGACGCCTGCACTTGGGGAATCACATATGGCGCAGAGTCAGGACCCACAGTTGGTGACAAGCAACAGCCTGTGAGAGCGCTCCGGCCATGCCCTCACAGGGCCAGGTTCGAGGCCCAGTGGTAAGGATTTGGAGTAGCAGCTTCGGACTCTCTCCAGGAAGCTGGTTCTGCTCTGACTTTCTCACCGTCCTCAGACTTGATCACCCCCACCTCCCACCTGTGTGCCAGGGCTCCCTGCCCAGAAACAACAGTTGGTCTTTTGTCCTAGGAATCCCGTCAAAGGGGACACCTCAACAAACTACCCTCAACACCTTTACAATTTCTGTTGTAACTGTCCTGCCTTCGTCATGCTAACAAGCCCACAGGAGAAATACCCGCTGTGGCTAAGCTCAGGGCAGCATCGATTCGGCCAGCTCTGCAGTTCCCGAAGCCTCTACATCCCCATGTCCTCTCCCTTTCAGGCAGTGAGTAAAGGGTCAGAGGACACCACACCAATTTACAGATAGCCTGTGACAGCACAGGGTCCCAGGCTTTGGCACTCTTATCATAGCTCTCAGCCCACAGTGAACCCAATGGAACATGCTGGAAGGCTGGGGAGGCCCCAACCAAAAAAGGTTTCAGCAGCATGATACAGCTCGCAAAAGGAGGCTCCTCGTGCTCTTCTCTAGTCACTGACAGTCCCCAGGAGCCTACAGAGAAAGCCCCAAGCTTCCTCCACAGTCTCCTTGGTGGTGTGCTAGCTTTCCACACACCCCTGGGAGCAACAGAAGCTCACCGCAGTGACCTGTGTGTTAAACACCACTGGCAGAGCCCTTCTGATCACTAGTGACTAACGCCAAACCTGAATGAGTGCAAAGAAACCCAGCTCCCAAAGCAGCAGCATGTTGCTCTTCTAGTTATCTTCTAAGACCAAAGCACAGGCCACCTCCTCCAAGAAGTCTTCCCTGACACTCCAAGCTAGACATGATCCTCTCGTACCCCTGAACACTCACCTTCTCTAACCTCCTACCCTTTTGTTCTCATTACTTTCCACCTGGTACTACACATTTTTGTACCCTACCTTCCTTCTACTCTAAGCTGACCCCACGGAGGGCAGGGCCTTTGCGGCTGCCAAAAGACCAGGGATGACTGGACCCTAGTAGCTGTTTATCAAGAAAGAAACCACCACCCACTCACTATTCGCACTCAGATGGACAGTGTGCGGACCCTTCAATGGAATCTCTTTGAAACCTCACACCACCTCCCACAAGGAAGGTGACCTCATAACCTATCTTACAGGCAAGAAACCAAGGCACAGAGACAATGAGTGACATGCCCTAGGCTGCCTAGGCCTTGAACCTGGGCGCAGATGCTACTGGCTTGTGGTGGGTTTATCTGATGTACCCTGGGGGCAAGCTGAGGAGTGTCATGACTGGTGACTACTTTCAAACCATTACAGTCAAACCACGGCAAGTCAGGGACCACCTGACATGGTGCCAATGTTAGTCTGATTCCTTAACTTGGAGAATACAAGTTTGCCAGCA